ATACATTAGTAACTTTAAAAAATGTTTTCCTTCTCTTCTCCAGTTCCCTAAAGTAAGGATTGGAATCTGAAGCAATCTCATAGTAGGATAAAAACAGCCAAACTTGGCAAGACATCTTTGAGGACATGCTGTACAGGAGGGTAATACTTTCTGTTTGCTGTCAATCACACCCCCAAATTAATCTACATTACATTTAAATATTGACATTTATGAACACTCTTACAACAGACAAAACATTTTCAAATTGCTACAGATTCCCCTCCCCCCCCAATCAAAATAGGAATTTCTCATTTAGATGAATTTTTAACATAAAACATTTATACTTACATGAGCTGAGAATATTTTCTTCCACCCTAATTGCTTTCCTTTTAAATATTAATTACAGGAAAATGGGGAGACAGTTATTTATACATAGGGTATTTTCAGTACTTGGGCACCAGCCAAAAACGATGCCATAGCTGGTTCTTGGTCTATAACCATCCAACTATTTCAACATAACCCCCTCAGGCTTGCACCTGGATTGCAGTCCTTTTCAGAAACTTAATTTTATGAATGAGATCATAAAAATAATATAATGTATGTATATAGGGATATGTGTGTGTTTGTGAGTGTGTACTCAAACTCACTCTCATCCATGTGCACAATACATAGTGGTGTGGTATGATGGTTTTATTGGCATGAATTTAGGATGACCACATTACAATGAGTGGTGCAGTCATAAGTTATTTATGCGAGTCATCACTAGTGATTTCTGATAAACCTTTATATCACATCATGCATTTTTATATGCCCCCACATGTTACAGTAACCAATTTTACAAATGTTTGTTCTTCTTCAAGTACTTGCTCATGTCTATTCTACGTTAGGTGTGCGCATGCTGCATGCACTGTTGCCGGAAATTTTTCCCTCAGCAATATTCATTGGTCTGGCTCAAGTGCCCTCTGATGTCAAGCGCTTATGTGCCAGTATAAGGGGCACTACCGGTCCCACACCCTCTGAATTTCTTCTTATTGCCTGTGATGGTCACTGGAACAACTCCTCTTGCTTTGGCAAAGTGTTATTCAGTGGTTTCTCTTCAGCTTAGTTTATTAGTCTTCATTTTAGTAGTAGTATAAATATTGTAAATAGTATTAGTGTAGATCAATCATAGAATATCAGGGTTGGAAGGGATCTCAGGACGTCATCTAGTCCAACCCCTTGCTCAAAGCAGGACCAATCCTCAACTAAATCATCCCAGCCAAGGCTTTGTCAAGCCTGACCTTAAAAACCTCTAAGTAGATAGTTAGACCCTTTAACATAGAGGGGCTCCCTTCACCCCTGGGGCTAGGCCCTCCCTGGGCTTCAAACCCTGTGCCTCCTGCGGCAAGCCTGTGCTGGTGAGTGACCCACACTCTAGTTGTCTGAAGTGTCTGGGAGAGGCTCATGTAGAGGAGTGTTGTGATATCTGTTGGGACTTGAGGCCTCTTACAAAGAAAGACAGGGAAGTTAGATGAAGGGCTATCCTAATGTAAGCCACACTTAGCCTGGCGTCCGAGCCAAGCTGATCGAATCTGGCACTGAGCGCTTCAACTTCGGTGCAAAGCGCCCCTCCAGCACCGTTTGTTTCTCAGCACTATTCTCCATCTCTGGTCCCGAGAAAAAAGGGTAAGAAGCAACAGTCCAAGAGGGACACTCCCCGATACCAAGAAAGGACAACAAAGGGGTGGAGTGGAGTGCAACCTGTGTTGGGCCACTCCTCCACCCCCGATCCCCTAGTGGTGGATGATTACACCCTTCAGTTTTCTTCCACCCCTCCCTCTCACCCCCCCCATACCCATCCCTCTTCAGGCACCTTTCTTACAAGCCCTCCTGCGGATAGGGGTGGTGGAAAAGGTGCTTCAGAACTTGAGGGAAGGGGTTTTACTTTCAATATTTCCTAATCCTGAAGGCCAGAGGGGGTCTTCGACCCATCCTAGACCTGTGTTGTCTCAAAGGTTATCACAAGAAACTGAGTTTTCACATGTCTCTCTGGCCTTCATCGTTTCCTTCCTGGATCAAGGGGACTGGTACGCCAACCTCGACTTCAAAGACACCTGTTTCCACATTTCCATCTTCCAATGCCACAGAAGGTTCCTCAGGTTTATCATAAACCAGACCCATTATCAGTTCACCATCCTTCCCTTTAGTCTGTCTGCAGCCTCTCGGGTTTTTATGATATGCATGGCGGTGATAGTAGGCGAGACATTCAGGTTTGTCCATACCTTGATGACTGGCTGATCAAGGTTCCGTTCAGAAGCGCATGTGAAGAACAGCATGAGCCTAGTCCAAACCACCTTCCAAGCACTGGGCCTACTAATAAACGAGCAGAATCAACTCTTGTTCCAGTCCAGAGAACAGAGTTTATCGGGGCAATGCTAGACTCAAACCAGGCCAGAGCCTTCCTTTCAGAGGCTCAATGTCGGACCTGATATCCAGGGTCAAGGTCCACCCCGTCATGACAGCCTGGTTTTGCCTCAAACTTTTGGGTCACATGGCCATGTGCACTTATGCGGTACAGCATGCAAGACTGCGCCTCAGACCCTTGTAGACTTGGTTGGCCTTGGTGCTTAGGATTCCCGCTCTGGTCTTCACTTCCCTCAACCTGTGGAAGGACCCCTGTCAGTAACTGGGTGTTCCCTTTGTCACCCCCCAGCCTTCAGTATCTTTAACTTCGGACACATCAGATCTAGGTTGGGGAGCACACCTCGAACACCTAGGAACAGAGAGCCTGTAGTCCCAGGAAGAGCGTTCCCTATACATAAATGTCAGAGAGCTCAGGTCTCGGAAATCGGGGCCCTTACATCAGAACCACCGTACATGGTGTTCTTTAAGGACAAATGCCCTACCTGGCGTTCTTTCCAAAGGTGGTCTGGCAGTTCCATAGTAACCAGGCTATTTTCCTGCCAGTTTCCTTCCCGAAACCACACAGGAATTCAGAAGAGTCCATTGGATGTTAGGTATGCCCTAGCCTTCTATATTGAGAGGATCAAGCTGTTCTTTGTGGCAATAGCAGATAGCATGAAAGGCCTACCAGTTTCAGCCCAGAGAATCTCATCCTGGATAATCTCCTGTTTTCATGCATGTTACGAGAAGGCGAGCATCTCTCCTTCTGCCAGCTTGATCGCTCATTTGACGAGAACTCAGGCCTCTTCAGTAGTGTTTCTGGCCCAGATCCCGATCCAAGACATCTGCAGGGCTGCAACCTGGTCATCAGTGCATACCTTTGCCTCCCATTACACCATCACCTAGCAGGCTTGAGATGATGCCACGTTCAGGAGAGCAGTGTTGCAATCCACATGTTCATGAATTCTGAGCCCACCTCCTTCGGTACCACTTGTGAGTCACCTAATGTGGAATCGACATAAACTAGCACTCGAAGAAGAAAAAAGGTTATTAGCTTTCCATAACTGTTCTTTGAGATGTGTTGCTCATGTCCATTCCACGACCCACCCTCCTGCCCCTTGGTCGGAGTTAGCCAGCAAGAAGGGATTGAGAGGGTGTGGGGCCGGCCAGTGCCCCTTATTCTGGCACATAAGCGTGCAGCACCAGAGGGTGCTGGGGATGGTCCAACAGATACCAGTGAGGGGGAAATTTCCAGTGACGGCGCACGTAGCGCGGCACACCTAACGTGGAATGGACATGAGCAACACTTCTCAAAGAACAACAATTATGGAATGGTTTGTATCCATTTTTTTGTCTTTGTTTTTTAAAAATCTTCTTGGATTTATTTTTCATATCCTTCTGCCTATAAATCCAAATACCTTAGTTACCAAGAGACTAACTGCACAAGTCTCAGAGGAAGCCATGAAAAGCTCTAAAATGACATAGGATAGCTTTTCTAGATGTAAGTTCTGGGTCCCATTGGGAAGGTCGGAATCCTCTTTTTCCAGTAGTATGACACTTTTTTTTCTAGCCCTGCAGTAACAGGAAATATCAAACCTTAAAGCTGTGATGTTTTCATGTCTAGAAAAATCTGTTAGTTGTCTAAGACTGAACATTTCCTGGGCCTCAGGCAAGTGCAATATTGGTGGGGAAGGAGGAAACGCTTCTGTGGAGTTTGATTATTCTTGTAAAAGAGTCTTTTCAGGCTGATTGTGGCTTTGGATGGGAGAATGGATTTGGGGGGGTGACAGATAAGTGGGTGCAATGTCATAAAAAGGATGATACATTATTTTTGATATAGTGACAGCCAGCTACTGCCCCTTAGGTGGAGCAGGGATTTTAGGTTATAATCACCTTGCACTCCTGCAATATTGCCAACCATAGGTGTTCAAAAATCATGAGTCAGGTCCCCCAAAATAATGAGATTGCCTTAAAAATAAAAAGACTTTTAAAAAGTAATCAAAGTTGGGTTCTTGCCTTATGGGTTTTGAGCCCTTAGGGGTCAATTTTTCAAGCTTTTCTCCACAACTGTGAGGGCAAGACACTAATGAAAACTCAGATCCTCACAAAATCATGTGATTCTAGAAGCTGAGCCTTTAAGAAAAACTTCAACTATCAGAAGACTTGCAATAAAATTAAGTGTTCACAACACTGCCTCTGCAAACTTAGATTTCTGTTCCCTGGAACCTGTGCCATAGGGAATTGGGTCCCTTGTCTTCAGTTCCTCTCCCACTTTTATATGCAGAGCACACTCAGGCAATAGCACAGTTCATGGCCATTCTAGTTTTCCATTGTACTTCCTGTTGCAACTGTAATTAGATAGAACTCTGGAGAATTTAACTGGCAGGGCTCCTAAATGACTCTTGTTTTACGTGCAATCACTGAAATTGACGTGTCACTTCTCAGTGAGTTAACATTTATCGTAATTGTAAACATAATTCTATATTTGAAAACAGAGCATCACGGTACCTATTCTGGCTGGCTGACTTCCAGGTGCCTGCAAAACTTGCCAGTTTGTATAATTTTCTCTGACAAAATGTAACTTTCTGTGAGCTTCTTTTCTTGAAATGGTTAAACTTTTTTCTTTTTCTTTTTTGTAGGAGGGGTGGGAGACGTACAAAGGGGAGGAACAACAAAGGACCAATACAAGTTCTTTACTCAAAACCAGTATCTGTTATTTAAAGCACAGCCTTAGAAGGTGACTTACAAACCCATATTTATGATTTAATAATGACTTTTAAAAATATAACTAATAAATCCATTCTCAGTAGAAGTAATCTCACATTTTATTTTCCCTGAAGCTTTTAATATACCATTGTTTCAGGCTTTGCAGCTGTATTATTAATTTTTAAAAAAGCTTAAACATCACTAAAGATTAAAAAATGATGTGATAAAAATGAACATCTAAACTTGAGCCAGTTTGTGCATCAGTGGTAGGCAATTAAAATCAGCAGCTTGTATTTCATATTTTTACTTAACCATATGGTAAATATGATTATATGATGTAGTCCTAGAGACAGAGATTCTCTTATTGAAGCTCTTTCTATCCAAGAGTTCAGACTTCTTTGTGGAGCAGACTGTTAAAAGCATCTAACACCACAGTTATACATCTGTTTTGCATTTCAAAACAAGCTCTTTTACACTAAATCCCCTATATTATTCCCCTATCATCAGATTCAATTCTTTTACTTTAGTAAACAGACGGGAATAAAAAGGGCTGCTAATAAAATGTATCAGTTACAAAAATAGTTTCAGTACTAGACTAATTAATCCTGGTGGTTATGCACATCCACAACATCTTTTAGTCGATTTAAGAGCCATCACGCTCTTATATGAGCTCATATGAGGCCAAAACTCTGCAAAGTGAAGACTGGAAGGGAGGGTGTCTCATCAGCCTAGGAGAAAAGCTACAATCATCAAAGACACATGCAGATGCATTAGAAAGGGAAATTATTTTGAAAGGTGGTGGATCACTCTAACTCTGCTAGTGGAATGGATGTGGAGTGCAGAGAAGCATGCTACTTTGCTGGTCCCTCTTCTACAAAGGACTGAAGAGGGGCATGCTGTGTGGGAAAGAAATCAGGGAAGAAATACAAGAAGAAAGGAGGAGGTGATGGGATAGTTCCATAGTTTCACAGTAGCTCACATTGGTGAGCAGGAGAATATGGTCTTTGTTTTGGTTGGTTGGTTGAGAGTGCAAAAGTACCTATAAGGGAAGATTGACAAAATCGGGTTTGTTTAGTCTGGAGAAGAGAAAACTGAGAGGGGACATGCTAACCGTTTTCAAGTACATAAAACGTTGTTACAAGGAGGAGGGAGAAAAATTATTCTCCTTAACCTCTGAGGATAGGACATGAAGCAATGGGCTTAAATTGCAGCAAGAGAGGTTTAGGTTATACATCAGAAAAAACTTCCTGTCAGGGTGGTTAAGCACTGGAATAAATTGCTTAGGGAAGTTGTGGAATCTGCATCATTGGATATTTTTAAGAGCAGGTTAGACAAACACTGTCAGGGATGGTCTAGATCAGTGGTCTCCAAAGTGGGGTGCGCAAGAGGATCCTTGGTGGTGCGCGGCAGGAGGAATGCTTTTCTTTGTTTTTTGTTTGTTTGTTTGTTTGTTTTTTGCTTTGGCAGTTCGGGTGGGAGTCCAAGCAGCTTTTTTTTTTTGCTTTGGCGCGGCAGGGGGTGCATGCTCAAAAAAATTTTACTGATAGGGGTGCGCGATCAAAAAAGTTTGAAGACCACTGGTCTAGATAATACTTAGTCCTGCCATAAATGTAGGGGACTGAGTTAGATGACCTCTCAAGGTCTCCTCCAGTCCTACGATTCAATGATTAGCCACAGAATTCTCACAGTATTACCAGGCCTGCTGTTCCCAAAGGAACAGTACCTACCAGCTTGTAAGAGTCCACTCAGGATCATCATTTTGCTTAACACCAGAGCACTCGCATATATTTATAGTGAAAACAAGTATAAGTTTATTATCAAAGAATGTAAGTGATAGTGAGAAAGAATAATGGAAACAAATGGTTACATATAAAACAAAATCATAACATGCTTTCAAGAGACTAAACTTGACTAAGCAAACAACGTGGAGTAGAGTGGAAGAATTATTTCCTGTGTCTTGCTTACCACATTCCTGCTAATACACCCCAAAATGTTTTCTTTTTTTACAGCAGCAGCACTAAATAAAATGATTTTTTTTTTGCAACAGTGACTAATATTTAGCTTGTGTTCCATTATGACCCCCAGATCCCTTTCTGCAGTACTCCTTCTTAGGCAGTCATTTCCCATTTTCTATGTGTGCAACTGATTGTTCCTTCCTAAGTGGAGTACATTGCATTTGTCCTCATTGAATTCTATACTATTTTCTTCAGACCATTTCTCCAGTTTGTCCAGATCGTTTTGAATTTTAATGCTATCCTCCAAAGCAGTTGCAGCCCCTCCCAGCTTGGTATCATCCGCAAACTTTATGTGTACTCTCTGTTATTATCTAAATCATTGATGAAGATATTGGACAGAACAGACCCAGAACTGATTCCTGTGGGACCCCACTCAATATGCCCATCCAGCTTGACTGTGAATTACTGATGATTACTCTCTGGGAATGGTTTTCCAACCAGGTATGCACCCACCTTATAAATAGCTCCGTCTAGGTTATATTTCCCTAGTTTGTTCATTAGGTCATGCAAGATGGTATCAAAAGCTTCACTAAAGTCAAGATATACCCCATCTACCGCTTCCCTCCTGTCTACAAGGCTTGTTACCCTGTCAAAGAAAGCTATTAGATTGCTTTAACACGATTTGTTCTTGACAAATCCATGCTGACTGTTACTTATCACCATATTATTGTCTAGGTGTTCGTTGATTGTTTAATTATTTGCTACATTATCTTTCTGGGTACTGAAATTAAGCTGACTGGTCTGTGATTCCCCAGGTTGTCCTTATTCCCCTTTTAATAGGTGGGCACTATATTTGCTGTTTTCCAGTGCTCTGGAATCTCACCTATCTTCCATAACTTTTCAAAGATAATTGCTGATGGCTCAGATATCGCCTCAGTCAGCTCCTTGAGTATTCAAAGATGTATTTCATCAGGCCCTGGTGACTTGAAGATATCTAACTTGTCAAAGTAATTTTGAACTTGTTCTTTCCCTATTTTAGCCTCTGATCTTACCTCATTTTCACCGGCATTCACTATGTTAGACGTCCAATCATTACTAACCTTTTTGGTGAAAAATAAAACAGTCGTTTAGCCCTTCTGCCATTTCCACATTTTCTGTTATTGTTTCCCCCCCATCATTGAGTAACGGGCGTACCTTGTCCCTCTTGCTTCTAATATATTTATAGAATTTTTTCTTGTTACCCTTTATATATCTATCTAGTTTAATCTCGTTTTGTGCCTGGGCCTTTCTAATTTTTGTCTAATGGTCAGCATACTGCAGCAGAGGTGCTGGAACAGTTTTTATAGTGGGGGTGCTGAGAGCCATTGAACCAAACTGTAAACTCTGTATATAATGGAAACCATTCCAAGCCCGGGGGTGCGGCAGCACCACCAGCACTCCTAGTTCTAGTACCTATGAACTGCAGGGAATGCTCTGAGGAATCAGGGATTGGTCTGTGCCTATAACTTCCTGTACAGAGAGCAGGCCTGCAGAGGCATGGAAGATAGTGCTTATGTTGCCAGAGGCTGCTGGTTTCAGGGAGTGGATGCACTTCATCACCACCTGCTGTGTCTCTCAACCCTGAGTATCCCTGGTGAGGGTCACAGTAATATATTTTAATAGATAAGTGTATATGTACATCTACGCTATATAGAAGATGGCTTTGATAATACCATATCTCAAATATTTGTCCTCCACTAAAAGCCCTGTTCAGACCAATCATCCTGATGTCCTGAGAACTGTATTAGCAGCAAAGAAAATAATTCTAGTGAACCAGAAAAGCAAAACCACACCAACCATAGAATTTAGGATTCCTGCCCTTTGGGACATGGCTAAACAGGAGAGAATTCCCTTTGTGTGCAACAACAAATTGGGCACTTATTTAATCTGGAAATGCTTTTTGGAAATTATGTTGTGATTAGCTGATGTCTGATTTATTCCTGACTACTTGCGGAGTATCTTGTGTGGTCTATTGGCATGGGAGTTTGGGATGAATAATCTTCCTCAGTCTGTCTTCTTCTTCCTTATTATGTTCTATAGCTACAAATGCATCTGATGCTTCCACCTGAGAGTTTGAGATATCTGCTAATAAGGATAACATGTCATCATTGCACTTCTGTAGTACAGTGTATGTTGCTCAGATATTGATGCTATGTCAAATACCAGTTGCTACTATTTCTCCCTTTTATAGTTTTAATGTTTACTTATTTATTTTTAGTTCAGAAAATTGATACAATTTTTAATTATAAAGGCCCTCTTGTGGTGATGAAATTTCAGGTTGCTTTGTGGATAAAATCAGTCTGATTCAAACCTCAGCTAACTGTATCTGAGGAGGAAGAACAATATTTGGAAGGGACAAATGTTAAATCTTCCATGTTTGAGCTCAACCCAGTGTCTGGATGTGCTGGGAGAACTTCATGCCATAATCTTTGCTTTGGGTCTTTTGTCCTTCCTGACTGGCAAAGGCAAGTGGGTGGGAATTATAGAATCTTTAGTGGTGGAAACTGTCAGTGACAGCTTTGAAGAGTGTATGCAGTGTGGGTCTCAGGATACTAGAGACACAAGGTGAGTAAGCTAATATGTTGGACTGACTTTTGTTGGCGAGAGAGAAAAGTTTTTGAACTTAAACAGAACTCTTCTTCAGGTAAAGACGGAGTGCCATTTGCACTAGAGAAAGCATGTGCTTGAGCTCTGTATCTCCTGATGCTGACAAGATAGCCAGTATTGACCACTATCTAATCGTCCATATTTGGTTAAGTTTAGGGAAAAGTTTGTGGTAAGAGAACTCTGTGTACCTGGATACCTCTGACTTCCTAGATTCTTATCAGTTGTGGTTTTGACCTGGGTACAGAATAGAGACCACACTTGTAACGTTGATTGATGGTCATCTTCTGGTGATGGATAAAGATCGGAAGTTGAATTATTATGTTTTTGACACTGTGTGTCAAGAGGTGGTCAGTGTCTTGTTTCTGGCTGGAGTGGATAAGGCTGCTCTTGCATGGCTTTGTTCTTTTCTCTCAGAGAGCTCCCAGAGAAC